ATAAATAAAAAACCATTTACGTGGGTCCCGTAAGGTCGCATGTGAGTTCGGTTTACTGAGAACCGAGTTGGGATGTATAGATGATTCAGGCACGATGTCATGCGGGGTATTTATCGAGTATTTCGAAGTTTCGAGCATTTAATTAGAGAAACTTGAATTCCCGTGGAAATAGTAACAAAATGAGTGAATTTATCAAAGGACAAGTTTTGAGCGTTCGAGGCTTCGTTTTTCTCGATTTTTTTAGTTTTCCGTCTATTCAAGAGGATGTATAAATCTTGACTATCATTTTAGTTAATTCGAGCTTGGACGAGTCCGAACGGGCCCAAAAAGCAAAGTCGCGCGAAACACATTTAATGTATTGGTCAAGAGCTTTGAGAGAATGTGATCTCAAGAATAATTTGGCCATGCAAGCATCACTGAATAGAGGGATTCGTTAGCTACGTGCAGGAAAAAACAGAACTAAATTCCGAGTTAAGACGAGCCTAAACAAGCTCAAAATACAAAATATATACTACATATTAATTTTTTTTATTAATTTTAAAATATAAAACGTAAAAATACGTTTTATTTATTAATTTTGTAAATGTAAAACGTATTATTAAAATACGCTTTATTTATTATTATTTTTTTTAATTTAAAAAATAAAATACGTTTTATTTATTTATTTTTTAATTTAAAAAATAACATAATTTTAAAACGTATTATCGGAATATCTTTTTGTTAAAAAAATTTAATTAAAAAAAAAGTATTATGAGAAGGTTGGCTCCATAGTGGAGTCAACCTTCTATATCTGTTTTGCTATGGAACCAACGGTTTTGCTGCGAAACATAAAGGATCTTTTTGCTGCGATAGTGGAGTCAAAAAGTGTTCAAAAAAACTTCTGAACACTTTTTAGCTCCATAGCAAAACCATTGGCTCCATAATGGAGCCAAAAAATATTCAAAAAACCGATAAAGGCAAAACATAAAGGATCTTTTTGCTGCGAAAAGAACTTTTTTGTAACTTTTTTCAAACATAGGGGACGAAAAATAAAAAAAAATTCGAAAATGACTAAAAAGTTAAAATATTAAAACATACAAAACTAAAATTATAATTTACTCTGATATCAAATAGCTAAAACCTAGATATTTATGTATCCCCGTTCATAGCCAACACTTTCCGCATTTTATAACGTAGATTATTATTAAAATGGGTGATCATTGTTTATTATTTTTTGTCCCTATAATTAACAAATATATATTGTGTGTTGCATATGGTTGTCGGCTAATACATAGATCTTTTGAACTAAAAAGGAGATAAAATGGTGAATATATATGAATATTATTATTATTATGGTGAAAGGTATAGAGAAACGGTTTGGAAAAGGACAGGTGATGAGATGAGAGGTTCTCTGTCTTTGACTCCATATATATGTTGTCTTTTTTTACCTATCATCATCATATTCTTCATTTGCAAGGCAATCATTCAATTCAAAAATTACTTAAATAAATAAATATATACACGTATTTTTCTAACATGAAGTTTTAGCTTGTGATGCACATAACCCTTTTCTATTCCCATGCCTCCCTCTTTCTCACTTTAGAATATTTTGTGTCATGCCATGACACACGTGTACCTCAAGATTAATAACAATAATAGCAACAATATATATAAATCAACAACAAGAATATAATATTGAAAATCATTTTCCTAATTAATTATTGTCATATGTTAATTTTAACCATTTTTTTCAATTCCAATTTTCTATCATTCTACAAATGTATTTTGTAATATTCCATTCTTAAAATGAAAGAGAAATCTCCCCTACATATAATTTCAGATTGCGGTGATCAGCCCAAGATTCTGAAAACCGAACTGGTCATCGAAGGATAAAGCTACCGGTTCAATGGTTCACTAGTCGAACCGATTTAATTATTATATAATTATTTTATTTATTTTATATGTACAATATATAATTATATATATTTTTAACATTAGTTTTATAGTGTAAATGACATTTCTCTATATACAAAATAACTGTATTTATTTTTTATCATTAGTTTTGACCAGCTCTATCAATTCCAAGTCAATCTAGACCAAGCCCCATCAGACCACAGGTCCTTCACTCGCAAGAGAGGCTCTCTTACTTAGTATAGAGTTTCGTTTTTCAATTCTGCTGATCTGCTACTCAACAAACGAAGCGAAGCGAGGTCATGGCTAGCTCGTGCTCTAATCGACCTATGTGCCACTATATTTTCATTATTATCGAATTATATGTTAAAGTGTTAAACTTATTAGGTAATGTTTGTATTTATTATATAAATTGTAAATTTGTAATAATAATATAATATATGATTTTCATCATTTTTTTAAGTTGGTTGTGTAGTTTTGAATTTTGAAAAGGTTTGCATTTGAAACTTTGCAATTTGCATATGGATAAGAGAAAATAAAAAACGAAAAATAAAAAAATGGAAAAGAAGTGGCCCACCAAAACCCTATTTTTAATGGGAAATGCTACGATCCCATTACGGAATAAAAGGAAACAAGGTAAAAAACAACGGGAAGGAGATAAAAGCCATAAACACAGCAAGCAAAAATTTTAAGAACATGTGATCTCCTTAAATGCTTCATATCATTTCTTTCCTTATACATGAAACATGAACTATTCTATTACTTCAAGGCTCTGAACATTACTGCTTATATTGGTGCTAAAGCTGCGCATATCAACAGGATAAGGGGACACGTGTATGGACTGTATTCACTGGTAGGTTTTCGAGTTGCAAGGGCTGCATGGATCGGTTTTCTTCTTTTCCACGTATGCATATTTGCTTTCCACGTGAGCAGCCTTCTTTTCTTTGTCAATGCTAAAGTATTGAGGACCATGACCTCTTCTAACAGCCCCCTTCAATTCTATGCTCGACTTTTCATTAATCATCAATCTATTTCTTAACCAAGCATAGAATTGTCCTGAGAGAAGCTTGGTAAAGATATATGCCACATGTTCTGTGCCTGGTATGTGCTTGATGGAAACAATCTTGTTTTCAACCTTTTCCTAATTAAATGTAAATCAAGTTCCAAGTGTTATGTTCTAGAGTGATTCACATGATTCCCAGCTAAGCACACAGCACCTCTGTTATCAACCCATATGGTGCTTGGTTTGGGAAATTTTATTCTCAGTTCATTCAATAATGATTGGATCCACATGATCTCACATGTGACCTGTGCTGCACTTCTGTACTCTGTCTCGGTTGATGACCTTGAGACCAAATTCTGTTTCTTGGATGACCAAGATATCAAGTTCTCTCACATATAAACACATAATCCACTTGTAGATCTTCTATAATCTACATCGGATCCCCAATCAGCATCTGAAAAACCAGTAATTTGAAAACTCTTGCCTCTGTTTATCATCAAACCAAAATCCTTAGTTCCTGCCAAATACCTCATTATTCTTTTTACTGCCTTCCAATGCTTATCAAGTGGAGAGTGCATAAATTAGCACACTTTGTTGACACTGAAGGCCACATCAGGTCTTGTGAGGGAGACATATTGTAAAGCTCCCACTATTTGCTTATAAAGTTTGCCATTTTGCATAGGCTGTCCATCAACCTTGGATAGAGGTGGATTACTGATCATGGGTGTGCTTATACCTTTGGCCCCCTTCATGCCAGCTCTATCAAGGATGTCATCAATGTAGGAAGACTGATCCAGAAACAATCCTTGAGAAGTGTATGAAACTTGAATGCCCAAAAAGAAATGAAGAGGACCATGGTCCTTCAAAGAGAAATAGGATGAAAGAGAAGTAATGGTGGACTGAATTAAAGAGTGATGGCTTCATGTGATGATTATGTCATCAACATAGGCTAATATAAACAAAGAACCTGCAGAAGAATGTTTATAGAAAAGTGATGTGTCTGCTTTAGAGGTAAGAAAACCAAGAGAATGAAGGATGGAACTTAGTTTGGAAGACCAAGCTCTGGAACCATGTTTTAATCCATATAGTGATTTATGAAGCTTGCAAACTAGGTGCTGAGAGTGAGGAACTTCAAACCCTTGAGGCTGATACATGTAAATATCTTCAAGAAGATCACCATTAAGAAATGCATTGTCTACATCTATCTAGTTAATTGGCCAGCCAAGAGATACTGCAATGGTTAACATAATTCTTATGGTTGTGGGTTTGACAACAGAACTGAATGTTTCTGTATAGTCAATACCAGCATTTTGAGTGAACCCTTTGGCCACAAGCCTTGCCTTGTGCCTTGCAATAGAACCATCATGGTTAGTCTTTAGTTTAAAGACCCATTTGTTATCTACAATGTTTTGATGAGGTGGAGCAGGAACCAAAGTCCAGGTCTTATTTTTAATGAGTGCATCATACTCATCTTTCATTGCTTGGAACCATTCTGGAGAGATTTTTCATCTTGAACTGAAGAGGTTTTTTGAGAGTAGTATGAACAACTGAGAGAACTCTAGGTTTGAAAATGCCAGACTTGGACCTGGTTTGCATTGAATGAGAACCTGCAGCCAAAGGATTAGGTGGAGCATGTTGTGCTATGGTAAGTCTATGTAAATTTGCCCAATATGTATGTTTGAGGGAGAAGAAATTGAAGTGGAGTGTCTATTAGTTGAATGAGGTGAGGAGTCTGTAGGAGAGGAAGAACTTGAAGTAGGTGGTTTATGAGTTGAAGAAAATGAAGAACTTTAGGGGGAAGATGATGAGGAGGCTGGATGATTGTTGGTTGGGTGAAGAGGGGAGAATGGAGGTAATGAGCCATGGGATGAAGTCTGAGGGTGGAAATCATGATGGGGCAGTATGATAGGCAAAGTAGACATTGAAGAGAAGGGTGAAGCAGTGGTAGGCTGTGAAGGTTCTAGGGTATTGTTTTGAGTGGAAATTTAGTCTCATCAAATAGGACATGCCTAGTGATGATGACTTCTGGTTAGGAAGAAGAACCTTGTACCCCTTGTGCTCAGGGTTGTAGCCAATGAAGACAGAAGGTAGACTTTTAGGTTGTAACTTATGTTTGTTGTAAGGTTTGAGTAGGGGATAACAAAGACAACCAAAGGATCTAAGGTCATGGTAATTTGGTTGTTTGTGATGAAGGGCTTCAAAGGGAGACTGATAATCAATGATTTTGTTGGGTGTTCTGTTGATAAGGTAAGAACTAGTAGCAAAGGCTTCATCCCAAAAGGAAAAAGAAAGGTTTGATTGAGTAAGTAAGGAGAGTCCAACCTGGACAATGTGTCTGTGTTTGCGTTCAGCCAACCGTTTGGTTCAGGAGTATAGGGGCAAGAGATGTAGAAAAGTATGCCTTTTTGAAGAAAAATGGGTTTAAGTGCCATGAACTCACCTCCACCATCACATTGAAATGTTTTGATGGAAGACTTAAATTGGTTTTGAATCAAGGCTGAGAAGTGTAGAAATGCTTTTTTGGTGTCTGACTTGGCTTTAAGAAGATATAACCATACAAACCTAGTGCAATGATCAATGAAGCTTATGTAGTATCTAAAGCCTTTGTGAGAAGTTACAGGAGTAGGTCCCCATAAGTCAGAATTGATTAGTTCAAAGGGTTTAAGATTTTTAACATCATCGATATGGAAAGGTAACTTATGAAACTTTGACTGCATGCAAGTATCACATAAGGGATCAACAATATCATTTGAAAATGCAATATTAGATTTTTGCAAAGCAGTTTTGACAATAGCATAAGAGGGGTGACCATGTCTTTGGTGCCATACATGAAGTTTAACATTGCTAGAATTATGTAAAACAGACTGAAAACAAGAAGGTTTAACATGAGGTTATGTAGGTTGAGTGTCTTGAGCTTTGAGAAGGGTAAGAAAATAGAGACCATCTTTAACTGTGCCTTGAAGTAGGGGAACTCGGGTCTTGAGGTCCTTCACAAAACAGAAATTGGAGTGAAACTAAAAAAAACTGAGTTATCTTTTGCAAACTTTGAAACACTGAGGAGGTTTTTAGTAATTTGAGGAGTGTTAATGAGATTGTTAAGGAGAAAGATGTGAGAATAATGTGAAGAAGGGCATTTCAACATAGAACTACCTAAGTGAGCAATGTCCATATCTGCACCATTTGTTGTTTGCACCCTATCACTTCCATGGTAATCAGTGACCAAGCTCAGATTGTTGAGGTCATTAGTGAGGTGATGAGTAGCACCTGAGTCAGGGAACCAGTAAAGATCTTGAGAGCTACTTCCACTGCCTGTTGGACCAAAGCTTGCAACATTGGCTGAGGGATAGCTGCCTTGATTGGAGTTGTTTGAGGTTCCTTGGTTCTGACCTCTTGAAATGAAGTTATGATCAAATCTGAAATAGCACTCCTTGGCAGTGTGGTTGTTGTAGTTACAGATCTGGCATCTAGGCTTGTTAGAGTTCCTACCACCTCTGCCTCTGTATGGTCCTCCTTTACCAGTGCCTCTTCCTCTAAAGTTTTGACCATTTCTAGATCTGCCTTGGTTACCAGAAAACCCTCTTCCTCTTCCTTGAGGGTAGGTTGCTAAGTTGGCAGCTAGTTGAGATCCTTCATTCGCATTTGAGTTTTCAATACTCTCCATCCTACTTTCAAAGCTTAGCAAGACAACATATGCTTCTATTAGGGTGCATTTCTCAGATCTTGAAGTTAAGATTACCACAACAGGGTTGTAATCTTGTCCAAGGCCAGAAAGAAGATGAAGAATCTGGTCATTTTCCTCAACTTTATGTCCAGCTGCAGCCAACATGTCACAGATCCCTTTGATTTTATTGAAATATTTTCATGGTTTGAAGTTCCAGCTTGAGTTGCATTTGTTTGGCCAAGCTATGACTTGCAAAGATTTTTCTTAAGCAATCCCATATCTCTTTTGCTGAGTTAAGGCCAACTGTGGTAATGAGTATGCTATCAGATAAAGAAGAAAGGAGCCAAGAGGATATGAGCTGATCTTGCTTCACCCATTGGAGGTAGGCCTTGTTGACAATGACTTCACTTGTTGCCGAATCTCGGGTAATCTTATCAAGCTGAGGAGTTTCTCCATTTAGGAAGCCATAGAGAAAAAATTATTTTCATTGAGTTTTGTAGAAACCAGCTGGTTTTGAAGGTGAATGATTGGATCTGGTTGTTTTGTGGTAGCCATTACAAGGAAGGGAAAAGGTAATCAGAGCCTATGCTCTGACACCATAAAAGGAAACAAGGTAAAAAACAATGAGAATGAGATAAAAGCCATAAACACAACAAGCAAAAATTTTAAGAACATGTGATCTCCTTAAATGCTTCATATCATTTCTTTTCTTTATACATGAAACATGAACTATTCTGTTACTTCAAGGCTCTTAACATTACTGCTTATATTGGTGCTAAAGCTACGCATATCAACAGGATAAGGGGACACGTGTATGGACTGTATTCACTGGCAGGTTTTATGGTTGTGAGGGCTGCATGGATCGGTTTTCTTCTTTTCCACGTATGCATGTTTGCTTTCCATGTGAGCAGCCTTCTTTTCCTTGTCAATGCTAAAGTATTGAGGACCATGACCTCTTCTAACACGGAACCATTCCGTCGGGGTTTGTAATTGTTAGATCAGTTATTCCCGACGGTTACATGATGTTCTAACGGTTACAAACCCCGACGGAATAGTTTCGCAACTGAATTGTAGCATCTCCCATTTTTAATAAGTTATTTAAACTGCAATTCCCATATTGAAACAAACGGACCAAACGGTGGAATTTAAGCGGGCTTTTAAAATTGGCCCGCGCCACAAGCTAAAAAAGGACAAGAAAATAGGAAAAAGCAGTCCCACATCGTCAAAACATCTAGAGGAATTTGCACCCATTACTTTAAGTTGTGATTTTTATTACATTTATGTATCCCTTAAATTACCTAAACAAGCTAAAAATATTTCAATTATACCCAAATAAGATGTAACCGTTATACCTTTTTTCTGCCATATTAAATACTAATGAGATCTTTAATTGAAATTAAATATGTACTTACCTAAATATGTAGGACACTTTCTCTCTCCCCCCTCTCTTCGTCTCTCCATCTCCGTCTCCCTCTCACTCTCCCTCTTCTTCTTCAACAACTTTATGTTTATATTTTCTCTTCCCCTACAATTAAATTTTTTCTCTGTTTTTTAATGATCGATCAAAGACCGACAACCCACTGCTTGTTAGTTAATTTTTTTTCTCTGTTTATATACACAAATTAGCAAACTTGTATACACAACTTATTGAGAAATTGGATTTCACTCCATGCTGTTATAATCAAGACAAGAAAGCAATCAGACATTTTTTATGGGCAATCAAGTTATGAATTTTTATGCAAGATGTGGAGTACCAAATCGAGGATGAAAGGAAACCGGCACCCAATGATGAAGAAGACGACGTCGACGAGTTCGTGAAAAATTTTTAGGGCATATTTTTTTAGGGTATATTTTTTTTTCGTTTTGATTACGTTGTGTGACAGCTTTGGGGGTTTGATTTTCTATATTAATGTGTTTATAGCCTATTTGAATTTAGAGCTTTGTGTATTGTTTTTTTCAATTCACTTGGTTTTTGTCAATATTATTTTATTTTGATTTTTTTTACTGGTCGTTGGGTAAGAAATTGGATTGGAGAATATGTACAGTATATGTTTGGTGTATGCGATACCTTTTGTTGTCATTTTTTTTATGCTACGTCTGGTATATGCGATACCTTTTTGTTGTCGTTTTTTTTCATTATCCAATGGTTTATTTCTGCTATATGTTTGGTATATGCGATACCTTTTTTGTTGTAGTTATTTTTTTTATGTTACGTCTGGTAGATTTGTTTTAGTCATTTCTATCTTAAACCAAACAATATATTGTTTAACATAAATATAAAATATATTGAACATAAACCAAAATTATACTTATACTGCACATATAAAATAAATTATTGAACATAAACCAAACATGTTAAAGCTACGAAATTTATTTTTATGAACAAATACCAAAATATACTGCACATATACCTTCTCTATGACGTGAAATATACTCCAAAACCGTGAGTGATTAGTGAAATATACATACTGCACATAAACCAAACAATTTATTGTTGAACATAAATCCCAAATAAACTGAACATAAAGATAAAATATACTGAACATAAACCAAAAATATACTTGTACTGCACACATAAAACTAAACTGCTGAACATAAACCAAAAATATTAAAAACTACATAATTTATTTTTATGAACAAATACCAAAAATATATTGCACATATACCTCAGAAAATAGTGCGGAAAATATGGGTACATAAAACCGTTTATTATTCTCTGATTTTCATTCCATATACATTAGGTACGTTTTTTTTGGAAGATACCCCAAATCATGCGGAAAATATGAGATTGAGGTCCACCCTTAAATGTAACTGACTTTTAGGTTAATATGCATAAATGTTCTTTGTTTAGGTATAGTTACAATTATTTGTTTATGAAAGGTATGATTGTAATATTTTCAATTTCATGTAGGAGACTTAAAAATTTCCCAAACATCTAATCATTGAAATGCTTATAATTGAAGAAGTGATAACTACCCATTTTATTAAAAACTATTCTGTGGCTGGAACCGTCGACGGTTTTTCGGTTTGATTGGTTTTTGGGATGGTTTCAAGCAGTTTACACCTCAGACCGGACCACTGTAATGGCTGGTTCGCTCTGGTTTTCAGAATATTGGTTGAGCCTAAGTGGTAAATGCTCATGCTTTAGAATCTTATTTGGCGAAAAATCATACTTCGGAGTTAAGCTTGGATATAAATTATATTTTTTTATCCAATATTAATTAACTTGGATTTCATTTAATGTCTATATTATCCAACGGCACCACGGGGAACATGTCATGTCATCCACATCACAATAGGGTTACACAATGACTCTGATATATACCAATTGTTAGGACCAACAATTTAAGTGCAGTTCTCCATCAATCCCAACATACAAATTCAAATGAGGTTCCATTATAAAACCAATTGGTAATAGAACGAGTAGTCCACCAAACTTTCACAAACAGTGCAGGTAGGGACAGGGGCGGACGCAGACTTTAATGGCAACGGGGGCACAAATTACGGTCGACAGTAAACGCCATAGGTCAACGGTCAAATCATTATTTAACCAATTATAAAATAAAAATATTAAATCTTGACAGACACTATGTTTCTTATTTAATAGATAGGCTTGGATCTTACATTCTCATTTTAAGAATACTGACACATTTGATCCAATCTCTATATAGTATATACATTTTTGTACAATAATTGTTTTTATATGTATTTTAGGAAGAAAAAGGAAATAAAAAAGAAGTTGAGTATAGCATACGTATAAATTCCACAAGTTAAAAAAATAACATTAAAAGTTAAATAATTCTGAACATTTCTTTTTATTTTTTTATGTTGAAATAACTTTTCTTAATAATTAA